AACGCAATTCGAACAATGGGTGGATTGGCCATTCTACGAGTAAATGAATAGTCCGGATGCACCTGAAAAACTGCTTTCAACGCAGACGAGGAAAAAGGATAAAAAATGAAGGACGGTATAAAAGCTCCAGTCAGAGTTGTTGTTACAGAGATGTGGGTATATAGTTGTTAGCAGATGTTGCTGTTTTGTCATGAAAAGTTCTGACTTCGGGGTTCTGCTTTACTTCTCTTGCAATTAGGTTTGGTTGAAATAGGAGTAAAGAATACAGTTACCAAAATCGACGATTTCTCAGCTCAGTACCCTTCTTTACGATACCTAAGCACCTAACTTCAAGTTGATGACTATCAGTGAGTTGAGATCTGGTCCATATTTTCCTCAGTTCCAAAAAAAGACCACATTTATGTAAGAAAGGGAGAAGAATAATTTGTAGCCATGAGATTCATCCTCCACATTTTCATTATCGACGATATGTGGAATCGTAGGGTTTTAAAAGTTTGCAGTACAACATCAACAAACTTTTCATTGTTTTCACAACGAACAATACTTAATTTCTCAACTTAGCGCCTACAGCTACCTAACCAATGTGGCCTGCACATCCATCCCCTTTCGAACAAGCAATCATACTGTGAATCCGCCGGTCTACTGACCGAATTATTGCAACTTAAACTTGTTGATTATAATCGAAAGATACGCCAGATCGTGAGAGACATGGACAACCATGGAAAGCTTTCACTAAAAATATTTACACACTACATATCCTTCATCTGATTGGACTAGGCAACGGCTCTAGCCTTCATCTGCCAATTAATGAAACTCAAGGATTTCTTTACTTGCATAATTAAACGTAAGCAGATCAATATTATGTCAATATATATTGCCAGAAAATTCTACCATTGGAAATATTATTAAGGCACTGTTAACTAGAAATGTCCAAGCCATTTCGACTGGATGTAGGGGAACAAATGGCCATTTCGTTCATATTTTGTGAAAATGGCGAATGCAAAACGACAGATGGACAAGGTTAACCATATGGGCCGGGGCTTTTACTGACATACATCGGGCTGCTGCTCTTTACTTATAAAAGTAAATGAATCGGTGAATTTCATTAGCAGCCTCAAAAAGACTGGAAACTCAAACAAAAACTTGGTCCCATGAAAGCAGGAATTTTACGGTGTAAAATTTCGAGTAAAAGTTTTCCATCGCTGCCGCAAATAACGGGAAAAAACCTTACCACCGTGCAGGGAGGTGCTGGCGTGGCCGTGTAATCGCAAACGGCGGTTATAGGTTCTAAAATGAGACATAATGAAAAACAATATCACTCCT